GGTAACGGTTCGAAGATATTGTTTAACCTTATGTACGCTCACAGAAGATTTCTACGTTTTTATTGGTTTAGATATTTATTATGATGTCTTTATTGACCGGGATTGGTTCATTTATTTACTTTCGCAATATACTGTAGTAGGCGTAGGCATGTCTATCAGCTCATCTCAGAGTAAAAGTATGGAGAAAAAGCGGCTGCATACTGCATATCATAATACATAACCACTGACGTTTATGATCGTAGCTTGCGCTTACAAAGACATTTGATTGATGTCGCTTTATTCTATTTCTAATTTATAGTGAACATTTCTATAAAAAGCAGATACATGGATGCTCACTTTAGTACCTGCATGCTCAAGGTGGATGATTACTTAATTGCCAATGTAATTATATCTCTGCGCTCTCGAAAGTCCAATAAAAAGAGAAAAACGTGGAGGCTAGAGACATGTTTCATTCAATGAGAAATTCAATGTGAGTACCTACTCGTATTTACATAACCTTTAGCAAGAGCGGAGTTTCACGATCCTGGCATTTACCTTAGTGTACCTAGGTACGTAGAGTTCTTACAGTAGTGTAGCAGATAAAATGATCTATTTAGATATTACATAACATAACATTACGCCTTTTTATCCCCGAAGGGGTAGGTATATAGGTATTAGATATTCTAACTTAAAATATCGTATTTACTAAAAACCTAAAGGTACTTATTGAAATACATTTTGTTGATTACTATACCGAATGAAAATAATTTACAAACTACTTAATCATAAGTCATAAAGGTTAGATGGCGCCAATAGTAGTCACAAGTTCACGAGTGTGGTGCTTGAAGTTCCATTTCCAAAGCTAATACTCAAATAATCTAGTTGAGGTTGAGATATAAGTAACAAAAGATGCATTATTATCATAAAAGCTGTAACCATAGATCAAGAAAGATGAGTAAAATATTGTAAATAGCGAATCTACTTGAAGAGTTTCGCGTTATGGTCACGACATCGCATCACTCCAGCCGCCAGCCACCACGACAAAACACGAAGATGTTTTCACACGAATGAGATAAATATTAGACATGCACGGGTAACGTCTGTGGATTTCTACACTTGTACGGCACGTAATTACTATAGAGACAATAGCAAAATGCTCAGGTTCTGTTAGTGAAAATGTATCTACATAAGAGCATCGAATCAGTGCCAAGATAGTAAAATATTGGTTGCTTATAACAATATTATCTACTAAACATAGGTAAGTAGCCGACTTGTTTCTTTCACACGACACATCTAATAATGACGTGTGTGAAGATATTTGTTTATACATAGCAAGGTTAATTGATGTTTGTCTCATAAAAATGATGGCTACCCGTGGCTGCCACTTGCCATTTCAAATTGCATATCTGTGAATGGGAAGTTCGCGTTCCCAGCACTTAGGCGTGACTTTAGCTTCCACGGAAAGTTCACCGGCAAAAACGGCCATCGTTAGTACAGGCAGTGTGAGGCGCGCGATTCTGTATTATAATAACAAGCATTGTACATCCGTCGTGTGAACGCGCACCAGTTTTTTGTTTCCTACAAATGAAAGTTGCACATGTGAGAATGTACCTCAGCTCACGATAATGTTTGTAGGGAAACTTGTTCCTAACATTGACCTTAGTGGGCGTTGTAATTACGTAATTACTCTGTGCATTGCATCCATAGCATTTATATGACGAATAGAGACTGATGACCTTGTCTGATTGCTGCCACACACGACAAACAATTTTTGTCTGTTATAGTAGAATATGCCAAATCGGACGTTTTGGCAGTTGTGGGCCTATGGTACTCCGTATTGAAAGCTAAAATCCTTTACATGCAGGAAATTCTATTTATAATTTGGTATTCTGAACAGTTCACTTTCCATATCAATCTGTGGGTTTGGTTGACCAATATAGTTTGTATGCACTGAATCAGCAACTTGATACGATTACCGAAGATGTATTTGTATGCGCCCCGTGTGCGTTTCCTTATTCGCTACAACAATTAGAAATAGCAATTACGAAATTACTAATTGGTACCTACTGCCGAATAAAGTTGTAGTGGCTGGTTAAACCAGTTGAGGTATCCATTAAGCTGAATAGTTTACCTTTTTAAACAACAGGCATCATAGCAATTATTCGGGTAGCACACCACTTTCTAGTCACGGATTACGTGAATGCAGCTTTGTGAGGTAAATTTAGCGGATAACTAGAAAGTCAGTCAAGCCACTCATGGTGGGCGTATTCTCCATAATGTGAAATAGCGCGAAGTGCTGTCGCTAAGTAGGAAATAGTCCGATTATTATCTAATCCGCTTTGCGATCATGTATTAACACAGATCCGAGATTGCGTGTGGATACTACGTACTACCTACTGTTGATTTTAACATTAATCCGTGATGTCTATTCCATTATAGTAACAAGATTGCATCGTCCGCATTACCGGAACAAGTATTCTGCGTGATATCCAGTTCATTTTCGCTATTCTATAATTTTATTCCAAATTCCAATCTGCCTCGTACTTTTTGAAAAGATTGCCGTTAAATTGCTATACCTAAATTAAATAACTATTGTTCAAATAAACTATCGCATTTAAAAACAAACAGGTAACAGGTTCTTCTTTTTACCTACAGGATGACTGAAGCCTACGAGCAATTCGCTTACGAGAGCCTGTCTCCGGAATACGAAGATTGGGCACGACCTTTCCCAAAGACCGCTCCAGATAATTTTCATTTATCTAGATATGGACATCTGCAGATCGACTACTCTTGCAGCTGGAACTCGCTCGACAGGCTTATTCGTAGCCAGCATCGAGGGTAATTAATTAGAAACAAAAACGTTTGAAATTCGAGGACTAAACATTGTGTACCGATCGCATGAATTATGGGTATAATGCATGCACGCATGTCTAAACTGAGTGTGTGTAAACATAGTGATAGTTATTGTGGTACGTATAATTTTTGCTTTTTGTGGCAGAATCATGCACATGTTTCTAAATTAGCTAAAAATGTAGAATAGAGAGTTAGACACAGTGTGCTCACTGTTAGATGGATGGAACGGTTTGAAAGTGTGTTCCGGATATTCTAAAAACTCCGAACGCATCCCTGCACAAGTAATGCTACTTTTAAACGAACATTCTGAATCGAATAGTATGTAAGTAAAACCGTTACATATCAACTGTAGTTTATATGTACATAATCCACAAATGACTGTAGTTTGGACCCTTAAAGAGTTATTTTAAGTGCCCATTTATTCGGTTGGTAAATGACAACTATGTAATCTTTCATCATTTACAAATGTAACTTCCGCATTTTCGCTCTGTTTATAATAATCAAGATCAATTTAATTTTCGTTTGTACTTAAGGTATTTTAAATATTGTGAGAGGCTGCTCGCTTATATAAGTTGAATTGTTTTTAGGTAAGGTGCTAAATGAATTGTTATTGTTCGTCTTATGATATAATCTGAGAAACTAAATGCTAGCCAAAGATAATAGAAATGTATGCTTAAGTAAATGTATCTATTATGTTTAAGTTTACTTAATATCTAGTTATTTCAGCTACTCCTATACTGCTTGAGATTAACTTTGAGGCTGAAACCAACATAGGTACTTTTATTGTTCGATCATGTGTGTGCTTACTGTCTAAATATAATAACTTACATAATGTCGACAACAATAAATGATACCAAAATTATTCATTTTCTTTTAATGGAGTGTCTCACCTCTTGCCTCTTTACTAGATGCAGATGAAAGTCTTAAGAATCACCTTGTTATTACGTACTTATCTGCCTCATTATAATAGAGCTACCATCGCGCTTTCTTATGGCACGAGTTGTCGTTTATGTTATATTGACGGCAATTTCTGTTTATTATCCTATGGTGTGGTTAACTTTCAACATTTTCATTATATCGAGAGCCTAGACCAGATAAGCTTAGCAATACATCAAGCTCTCTACACTTTCATTGTGACAGCATTAAGTCTATTTGAACTGACTGTTTATACTTTCCTATTGCGTATGTGCCAAGATCTGTTGCATCTCTACTGTTTTAGAAGCAACAAATGCCTATGGCCTCATCGGGAAATATTTTATTTGTATTCTGCTTCCATGCTTCCATCGACACCATTATTATGCAAAAGTCATATTTACTTAATACATTTTATTTAGCATTTCATAATCAACCTTTATATAGATTCAAGGTGCAAGATGCAGGCGGGTAAATAAATATATACCTACATATGTCGAGTTTTGCATGATGACACTGAATCTCCGTTTCACTTAAGATTATACGGTTTCCCCTAATCATGCATTGATAATTCTGCGTAATGCGCTACAGATTGCGTGTGCAGTTTTAGATGGCAAGTAGGTACTCTAATAGGTATCTAATTCGGGGCGATTTGTAATTACAGGGCATAAATTATTTCAAATAAGTGGCTAATAAAGCAATTCACGCTTCAGGGGAAGTAGGTACGATTTAAACGACGATATGTGGGTCATAAAGTGATGTAAGTTATGAATATGTACCACCTAGGCATGTATGTAGTTATTTTCATAATCGCATTCTTATTCGTTGTAACAGGTACATATCAGATAAGGCAACGACTAATTTAGAAAGAGCCACCGTTGCTAACATAATTGCTTTTTCGTTACAAATGGTTATTGTGGCGAGACTGAGTAGTAAAATAATTACTGGTCATATTTTTTGTTATATAATCCTTTTAATAGCGTTGATTATGATTAATTTTGAAAGGTTTATTATTCTGATGGCTTTTATTGAAATTTTGAAATGCATACAATAATATGTTGAATCATTCGGCTCTATTGTTACGTAACCTCTTCGTGGGTAGAGGTAAGGCATTTGTAATTGCTAATTTATTGTTAAACAAGGATCAGGTGGAGAGAGCAAAAATAGGAGATTTAAATTACCAAAACATGCGTTTTATTCGATTACTTACAAACAAATCTTAAATAACATAACATTGTATGCGTACCAATAACAAATTAAAAATCCTGGAAGTCTTTGTCGTTGTAAAGTTTCCTTTTCTTGGTTATATGAAAAAGGCCTTTTTTCTCGGAACTTTTTGGTTTAGGAGTTTCTGCAACGTTTTTATCGTAATAAATTACTTGCAGACTATTTGGCTTCGGTGCCTTATTTTGTGAAGGCATAGCAAACTTGTTCGTAGGCATATCATGTACTGGATCCGAATCTATACTATTATATTCTGTATAGGGCTCCCTATTTGCGGAGTAGGGTCTTTCAACGTGATTTTCATACTGCGAAGGGTAACTGTTCTGCAAATATTGCTTGAACTGACTTTGTTTTAGTTTCTCCTCGAGTTCTTCCAGTCGCTAAAGCGTTGTGTGTGTAAGTGAAAGCGTTTGTTATATATTATTGCTAACATTATACACTGTGATGATATGTTTACGTGTCGTTTTAATGTTTAACGACGGAGGCTACATGTCATTATTTTGCTATGAACTAAATCAAGTATTATGAAGTAAGTAAGTTATAGACGTACCTACAAACATAATGTTACTTAAGTGCAGGGGAACTCCGGAAGCTACCGGCAGCTCCTCTCACTTAATACTTGTTTAATTTAGATAAATTGTGAGAGTTGAGGAACGAGGAAATAGCTCTTAATGACAAGTAGGAGATGTAAGGAAGTGTCTCTAGTGTTATGATTTCTGATGATTGATGATTATGATTTCTGATTGATGATACCGGAAAAAATGTAACATAAGTAATGATGCAGTAATTGTTTGAATCTGAATGATAGCTTTCAACTACCTATGTACATTTTAATTACCGGTTTCAAGTGATTCAGGATACACAAATATTGGAGATCATTAGAAAACTTCTTGCCAAATAATTAAAACTTGAAACTCAATGGTAAATCTATTTGACACCCACCGTCTACCAAAAGTCCAACCGCGATCAACTGTTGCTAAGTATCTACTTAGAAATAAATATTTCTTGGTCATATAATTGACTATGAAGCAACCTAGTTAAGAAGAAAATAACACCTACTCGTCTATAAGCGTCAATATTAAGGTCCGTCCTCGCCGTCTCCCGAGCTAACTCCTCTTGGAGTTGCACTACTCGAGCAGCCTCGCGTTGTATCTTCTCTTCATATTCCAGAACCAGAACGTTGATCTAGAATATTTTTCTTAATAAAAAAGGAACTACTTACAAAAAATCCAGAATATTGATTGGTTATGCCAATAAAACTACCTTCATGTGTCAGTTAAAAACTAATTTGGTATGCAAGTTAGAAAATACCTAAATAGTGCTCCGGAACAGAGCCAGTATTTTTAACTTCTGTATCTGAGCTGAATAATAGTTATAAAAATTTAAATTCGTTGAAAGGCATTCGATACGATCTATCTACAGTCTAGGTAGTCCAGGCTGGTAACAACTCATAGCTGCTGCTTTTACAAAAAATTACTGCTGGCTGCTTTACGCTATGTACGATTAGAAGACAGAAGATTATTCAGCTTCTCTATCTACGTACATATTAGTATGTTGGTAGTTAGGTAACGTACCTTTTCGCGGTGGTCAGCCTCCATTTCTCGCATCTTGGCCCTCAGCTCTTCGATCGCACATGTGAACTGGGCCACCTGAGCGTCGCATTCGTTTTGAATCTGTTGGACTAAGTGTTACATATTACACTTACCTACCTAGCTACCTCTAGGACGTTTATTAACGGTTACGATAGCTAAGTAGGGTAAAGCAGACCGGGTTTTTTTTTAAACATAGCGCCTAATGTGCGGCGCTGTTTTTGGCTAGTGTTCTTTAGGGCATTAAGATTATGATATAGGCACTAGGCCCCATGCTGACGAAACAAATAGAGAAGGACTTTATTATATTCTCCGAAGGAGTTTCGAAAATTACCTACGAGTAATGTAGGTAGGTAAATATATCGTTAAAATCTTTATAAAGTTTACCAACTTTCCCTTTTATTATCAGACTTCATCTCTTCAATTTGTTTTTCATAAGCACTTCGTAGTTTCATTACATTGTCGTTCTGTTTTTGTATCACATTCTCTTTGTCCTATAAAATTGATGGTTACAGGGTTATAGTAAATGATGTAGGTACCTAAAATATGCACCCTAGTGACGTCGCAAGCAATTAAGAAGTTACTACGTACCTACCTAATCACAGTGGCGTGCACAGGGTTTTAGAACAGGGTAGGCAACATAATATTGTATTATGATTAAACTCATCGTAAATACATAACATAATTCAACTTATGAGGTTTTTAATCTTTCGTCAATTCTTTGTAACAGTGCCATCTCTCGTTGTTTTCGTGAAGTATTACATCAACTTATTGATTACTCTAACAACTTAAAAACATTAATATTCTATTTTTCTCTTTAGATTTGTAAAACTAATCTGTATAATTACCTACTCGAGATGCTGTATAACGATTAATCTAATTTATGTTATCAATTCAGTAGCAGTAACGAATTGTTCATTCTAAAAATTGTACTGAACTGGCGGCCTGTCCAGCCTTCTCACGTTTAATACAAGAATATTACGAATTCTTTACTATTTTAATTTAATTCTTCGAATTAATAAGTTTGGTTCATCTATTCAAGAGATATTATGATTTTAAGAACTTGGGTATGACTAATAGAAAAATCGAACCGAGCGCGGCCGGCTGCGGCCGAGCCGAGTAAGCGGTAGTACATTTTTTAGTATTATTAAACATTCATTTACCTAGCTTATTCTTCTTCATTTCATTTTATAATTAGTACATAACATATTACTTAAAGCTTCGTTATTTTTACTGACTGAGTTGCCGCGACGGGAAGCTCCGCGTAGGTACCTACTTATGTTACATAACCTAATCACATTAAAATAAAGTAACTTTCATAGAACTTACCAAGACAAGACTATCAGAAGAAAAACTCACACACAATCTAATCACTAAGCGATGGTCTGCGATAGTTTATAATTCTTTACCAACTTTTGTCAATACAAACTTCACAGTTCTTCGTATAACTTTGCAAAATCAATTAACAAATAAACAAACACAGTAATAAAATGTACTTATATAAATAGACAATTTTATACCGTTTACTACAAATTATTTGCGTAGAATTACTAATCGTATTCTAAATCAAATAACAAAATTATCCGAAAATCCACGCATCGCACGTAAACAAAAACAAAAAAATTGTCACGCGCGAGCGGCGTGAAGTTCGCTGCGAGGCGACCAATGAGTAAACCAAGACACGGAACGTGATTGGTCGGCACGCGGCGAACTCAATCACGAGTCGTCAGGCCGTGCCTGCAGGCAAGCTTCGCGACGATAAAATAAACGCGTCTGTGCACTACGCACACAATGACGTTCACCACTACACGCTTAAATTTATGAATGGTTTGCAGGCGACGGAACCGCGTGCCTGCCTCGCGCGTTAATGTTTACAGCTATATACGGTACGCCTGGCGAAATGCAACACGTATCGCGCGCCATCATTGTTGCTAAACTATTTATTTTAGGCGTTCACTAATTTTATTATAATTATTATTTTAGTATTCTGTAGTAAAATTAAAATGTTTATATCTTTTATTACGTAGTGTTATTCACGGTATTTGTAAGGTAGGCAAAGCCTTTTTGCCTATATGGACTGCACGCCACTGCCTAATCAATATTTACTTAATTGAATTAATTTGAATGATGATTAAATTAAAAAAAGTTGTTAATGCGGATTGATATGATTGTGTGTTTAGAGATAGGTCTCGCCTACGTCTACTCAATAGGTAAAACAAACCTTTTCAACATCTGCAATATTACTTTCTTTCACAGATAATTGTTCCTTCAACTTTTTAATGTCCCTTTTTAGGTAAACAAGCTGTGAAACGGTCTCCTGTAAGTTCCCTATCATTTCCCGGGACGTCAATAAGTGATAGCGATGTGACTTCTCCATTTCTCGAACCTCTTTTAATTCAACTTCCAACTTCAAATTAGCCTCTCGTAATTTCCTGCACTCTTCATTTTCATTAGTAAAATCCTGTATAAGTATATAAAATTCCTTTACTATCTAGAAATTAGTGTATTGTTATTCTCAACTTCAAGACTGTCCCTAATAAAATAAAAATAGATAAGTAGGTAGGTATTGAGCATAAAACCAACTAGTAAAACTGCAAGTTGCAGAAAATGCTTACAATTTTGCACCTGGATAAACAGTTTAAAATATTTTGCAGTCGACTATCTAGCACAATTTTTTCTTCTTCCGGCTTAGAATCCATTTAAAGTAATTGCACCTCTAAATAAGAACAATAATATCTTTTGTAGTTAGGTTTTCCGTTTATTGTATACCTACTGTAAAGTAATAAACCAATATTTAGGTTGAATAAAAATTACAATTATTTCTTCAACTGAACAAAATCACTTTGTTCCCGCTCAAAGTTGATTGATATTTTTCTTCTTTTTTTAATATGCATGAAAAGTGATTACGAAATAATTCATAAGTCCTGCAAACTACCAAATAAATAAATTACTTTTGCCAAGGAAAGAAAAAAAAAGTTACTTACTTGAATTATAAGTGTTAAGGTAATTATTATACAAATATTACAGTAGCAGGATATTTCTAGCTTTATATTTATTTTTCTATTTTAATTTACAATTTTTATATTCCCTTTTCCCGCTCCCGCACTTCGAGAAAATAATGTCATTGTGTCTATGGTCACTACTAAACGTCAATGTCATTGTGAATATTGTCACTTGTCACCGTTGTCATGTTCATTTGACATTGACATTCCCAGAAATGTGCGGCGCGGCGGTCTGTGTGGTGTTTTAGTGTAGGTTATGATAAATTTTACAAATCTTGTAATTTATTCGTAGTAGACTAGATTTGTCTGTGATAATAAAAAGAACTTAAGTTGAAATAAAGTGTATTGCATAGTGGTATTATAAAATCGGTGAAAAAATGGCTGCAGCGTACGGAATACATTTAGGAAACAGTTCGGCTGCTTTGGCTTCTTTCTCTAACGGAGCGCCGTTGATTATTGCTAATGACGCTGGAGACAGAGTTACCCCTGCTATTGTTGCCCTGAATGGGACCGAATGGGAAATTGGGTTGCCTGCTAAATCAGGACAACCATCTTCTAAATCGATCATAAAACACAACAAACGCCTCATGAACAATGACTTCAACGCTGATGATCTCGCGTACGTTGAAACATCCTCATCATGCCGCATTCAAAACGAAGACAAAGTGGTTTATGAGTTTGAAACTAGTGAAACTACTCTATATTCTAGCCCTGATAACATTGCTACTAAAATTTACGCAAAATTATTTACTATTGCTAGCCACGCTATGAGCAACGAAGGAGATTTGAAGTTAGTATTGGCTGCACCATTGCATTGGTCAACTGAAAGCACAGAAAGGCTTGTTAAGTGTGCTGAACTTGCTGGTTTTGATGTTCTACAAGTTATCAGCGAACCAGCAGCAGCTCTGCTTGCCTATAACATAGAGGAATCTGTAGAAGATGTCAATGTATTAGTCTATAGACTGGGTGGCTCGTCGTGTGATGTCTCTGTAGTGAAAGTGTTAGGAGGTTTCATGACAGTTGAGAAAAATATCTACCGATCTGATTTAGGTGGTCAGTGCCTGACTAAAGATTTAGCGGATTATATTGCCCAAGAGTTCAGACAAAAATGGAAGTTAGACCCACAAGAAAGTAGAAGAGCCATGGCAAAGCTGCTTATCCATGCTGATAACTGCAAACATGTTCTGTCAACCCTTAACTCAGCACATGTGTTTATTGAATCACTCTTAGATGGTGTGGATTGGAGCCAAAATGTATCACGTGCCAGATTTGAAAATGTAATTTCATCCAAAATAAGTGCTTACATGGAACCAGCTCAGCAAGTAATTGAGAGCTTTAATGGAACAATCCATAAAATTGTTATTTGTGGTGGAAGTATGAAGATACCAAAACTTCAGTCAGCAATTGCCAATTTGATACCTGAAGCTGAGGTACTTTCTGGGATAAGTCCAGATGAAGTTATTGCTGCGGGCTGTGCTCGTGAGGCTGGTTTGTTGTCAGATATCCCTGAATTCTCTCTAAACGACTTGAACACAGAAGTTGAATTCTTAGGAAAAGATATCTATCTGAAGTATTTGGATCAAACAGTACAACTGTTCAAAGAAGGAACACCACCTTATGCACAGTTTGTTCAAAACATTGATGCTGGCAGTGAAACTAAAATCAGTTTTTCTTTGCATGAAGGTCCTGAAAGCGAAGAATTTGCCACAGAGACCTTTGACGTAGAAAGTTTAAATAAACCATTTACATTAAAAGCAACATTACAGCAGTCAAATGTCCTATTACAGGTGGAATAAAGTTATGTAAATGAAATAATAAAAACACTTTTTAAATATTTTTGTTTATTATTTGCCTACTCATTTTACCCATAATGACATAATGCTTCACCTATCTCGGAGAACCACGCGGAGATCTCTGTATTGCATACTAAATGCTGCTATTGCTGCTACACCAGTCACAATTCTAGATTTACACATATCCTGTTATATTGAGAATTTACAAAAATCCGAACAAAAATATTTCAACTGTTATCTCAAAGGCAACTAAGCAGATATCGAATCTGCAGTTATCTTTTCAATAACAGATGTGCATTAGGGACGTTAAAAAGGATAGGTACCTAGTATTAGTAATGCAATGTATTAAATTAATTTAATAATTAATTTTTTTTTTTTTTTTTGAAAACGTTGCCCCACACTAGGATTTTCTCCTGTGTCGTGGGTGCGTTTACAAACACACAAGTTCACATACACAATGACACCCAGACCCGAAACAACAATTTGTGGATCACACATAGTGTTGTCCCGTGCGGGAATCGAACCCGCGTCACGTTGCACGGCAGCCGGTTGCCCAGCCACCGCACCAACCGTGCAGTCAAATATCATTAACTGGACGGCTGTTGTACAGTGGTATTTATAATATTTCGTAACGAAATAATTTCTATAATTATTACTTAAGCTTTGAAGTTCCTTTCCCTGTTAATTAGTGTTAATAGGAGGACTTATGTTATTATTATTAAACACACACACACTTCCTCACCACTTTCGAATTTATAATATTAGTAGTATGACTAACTATCGGTACTTTATTGGTACAAATTAACTCGTCGAGTACCGTCATTATAGACACAATTATAGAACAATAGGTTGCGGTCACCGGTGACCGCTTAGTGTTTGACAGTTTAATGAATTATATTTAATAAAACAAATTTAGTAAAAATAAACCTTTTTCGTACCCAATTAGTTTCACAGTGTCGTATCCGAATATCCAATATCCGAATGCATGAGTTAAGTAGGTAGTACCTACCTAATGCGCAATCAAAAGCGTCATTGTCAAAAATATGTCAGGTGTAAATCTGAGAGCTGTCAACGTCACATCAAGACAGTAACAGTACAATATTTATTTTGAAATTCACAGAGTTATGTTATTAAGCTTTTCTATAAAAATAAACGAAAATTTGGACGCACATTATGCAAATATTACTTACAGTGATTGTTTTAGCTTTAATAAATTATATAGATTCAGTAAGTTCCATAAAAACTAGTTTTATTCGACAACATTTAGGATCACGCACACCATACAGGTTTCGAGCGAATAAAAATGATTCACGAATAAAATATCCAGGTAAGTTGGTACTAAATAATTAAATGTATTATTCGAGAGACTGAATTGTTGTATTTAAGTTTTCTTTCATGATAAAACGACCGTATTTTAGTAATTTTTTTTTTAGATATCTTGGTTGTTCTTTCTTATTTGATGTTTTTAACAGTATTCACATTTTTAAATTAATACATTGAGAAACCCTATACTTGGGGTTGCCAACCGTACTCTAAAATAGAGTATTGTCCTCTATATCATGTAGGCGTACTCTACAATCTATAACACTAATAGAGGACGCTAAAATACTCTTTTTAACACAATGTTTACTTAACCTGGTACTAGACCAGTCTGTAATAATATGCAAAAAACCTATGATCAGAATAAAAAGTCTGCTATTTAATCTTAATCCTGCTGTTTACAGTGGTCCAAAGATTTTTTCAGCTTAAGAGTATCATAAGTAATCATTTCAAAAATACTTTACTGCAGTGTTTTGTAGTTTTTTTTAAACTATTCTGATATTTCAATTTTGACACGATACCACCCTGTTATGAAAAGTACTGGACCAAATTGAAGTATAAACATGGAGCAACAACCTACCTATCGAGCTAATTAGACTGATGACACAAAAAGAACGAAAATATTTTTTTTTCAAAGCATAAAATAAATGATGCTCCTTTTTAAAGTCCGTTCGCTTTATTTACCTCCTTTAAACTGTCAAACACCAAGCGGTCACCGGTGACCGCAACCTATTGTTCTTTAATTGTGTCTATAATGACGATGCTCGACGAGTTAAAATCAGATATAGGTACTCTATTTCTTCTAAAAAAAGTTGGCAACGTTTCCTACTTTATTGCAATAAATTACTTCCATTCCTTGAAAATTAAGTCCATTTAAAAATATACAAACACAATTCTTCTGTACATACATTTCCAGGCTGCAAAGATATTAAAATATGGATGGTAATTCGTCATGGCACCAGACTACCGAGCCAAAAAGACTTGAATGCTGTTTCATCCTTACTTGAATTAAAGTATGAAGTGTTATGGCAACAAGAGTATGGTAAAGGTTTGTATCTTTGAGTTGATTTACATTAAAACTATAACTAAGTAAGTGTTGTAACCAAGAGTTATGGAAAACATAACTTCTATGTATTTATAACAATTTGCAGTACTTTTGTAATTCATGTGAAACGGTAGTTAGTTAAAATTTACTCTCATATTCCAACAAAACATAACAT